TTTGTCTGGATGAGTGTCTATTAATGAAGAGTCTGGAATTGAAGTTACCCACTATCATCATGTGAGGGTCAATATGTGGCTTAAGCTGTAGTCTTTTCTTTTATAAACTTGAATGGTGTGTGTGTGTGTGTGTGTGTGTGTGTGTGTGTGTGTGTGTGTGTGTGTTCCTTCTTTTAATTTGCTCTCTGGGATTATTCATTCCTTGCATTTTCTTAGGTGTAGTTAAATTCTTTAGATTGCAGGTTTTCCATCTAGTGCCTTTGTGGGGCTGGATTTTTAGGTAGACATTGCTTAAATTTGGTTTTATCATGGAATGTCTTATTTTCTCCATCTATGGTGATTGAAAGTTTTGTTGACTATAGTAGTATGTTCTGGCGTCTATGTTCTCTTAGAGTTGGGGCCCTGCTGGCTTTTAGAGTCTCCATTGAGAAGTCAGGTGTTATTCTAATAAGTTTGCTTTTATGTTATTTTTCCCTTGCAGATTTTAATATTCTTTCCTGTTCTGTATGTTTAGTGCTGAGGGGATTTATTTTTTCTGATCCAGTCTATTTGGTTTTTGAATGCTTCTTTTACCTTCTTTAGGTTAGGGAAATTTTCTTTTATGAGTTTGTTGAAAATATTTTGTGTGCCATTGATCTGTGTTTCTTCTTCCTCCATTCCTATTATTCTTACGTTTCCCAGATTTTCATAGTTTTCATAGTTTCCCAGATTTGTGCTAAGAGTTTTTCAGATTTAACATTTTCTTTGGCTGATGTATCCATTTACTCTATCTTGTTTTCAATGCCTGAAATCCTCTCTTCCATTTATTGCATTCTGCTGATGAAGCTTGACTCTGAGGTTCCTGTTCAAGTTCCTAAAATTTTCCATTTCCAGATCTCCCTCAGTTTGGGTTTTCTTTCCTGAGTCTCTTTCCACTTTCAGGTCTTCAATGGCTTTATTGGTTTCCTTTCACTGTTTGAATTTTCATAGATTTCCTTAAGAGATTTATTCATTTCCTCTTTAAGGACCTCTGTCCTTTTCATAAATATTTATTGTGGTCTTTGTCTTGTGCTTTAGCAATACTCATGACCTGCTGATAGGGTTGCTGAGCCCACTAAAGACATATTGTCCTGGCTGCTATTGGTTGTGCTTTATGCTGCTGTCTAGGCATCTGTGTTTGGGAAGACTGTAATTCAAGGGGCTGATATGTAGTCTTGTCTTTGTTGGGTGAGTGTTTTGTTTCCTGGTTTCTGTTTTTTTCTCTAGTTTTTAGGACAATGTGATGTCTGTGTGTTGTACAGTAGGCCAATTCTTTTGGGATCCTGATAGGTATGTCCGTGTGTGTAAAGGTCTAGGTAAAATGTGATTCTAGGTATTAGAAGCTTTTGCTTAGGAAAGGGAATTTGCTAGGTCGAGGAGATTGAGTGGGTTCGCAGGAAGAAAGCAAGCAGGGTATTCCATCAGAATCTGCTTAGTCCCCTGGGGATGGGGGTAGAAAGTTAGGACAGTCACAGTAGTTTGTTAGCTATGGAGGTTGAGATGACAAGTGGTATTGCACTTGGTGGAATGGGGACAGTGTTGAAGATCTGCAGTTAGCCAACCTGCTTTACTGGCTAAAATGGCCCATGTGTTCCTAGAGAAATCCTGTTAGAGTTGAGGGCTGGGACAGAGCAATGAGTTGGGGGCAGGAAGTTTTCAGAGAAGATCTGTGTGATCTACTCAAAAGTGGAGTGGGAAAGGATGCTGCTGCAAGTGGTTTGTGCCACAGCTGGGGATAAATAAGACTGGGAGATTGGATTTGGAGGAACCAACAGAGAGGTTCTAGTCTACAACTAGCCTCTCTGCCTCCTTGGCCAGAGTGGCCAAGGCTTTCCAGGGAATGTCTGCTGCAATTGGGAGCTGGGATAAAGAAATGGGAGGGTGTGTGTGGGGGAAGGGGGAAGGAAGTTAGAAGCACTGTAAGCCACAAGATCACATGGTAATTATATAGCTTCACATCATGAGACAACTCAGAAGAATTAAGAATTCTCCTGAAGGATAAAACCAGTATAAAAGTTGTATTTGGCAGTATGGTCTTGTGAATGAATTGGCTGTTTCTTGCTGTAGATTCTACCTGTAGCTTATTCCTTTCTGCTACAAGCTTGGGATTTACTTCCCACAGTTTCAGTACTATCTGATTATTTACTGGGAACAAATTCCCCCATGCATTTGGATTTTACTAATTACACTCCCTAGTTATGTGTAAAACCTGTTCTCCATTACCAGATCCTAGTTTACTGATTACATTCCATAGCTATGTGTGAGACCTATCTCCCTACATCAGGTCCTTGCTCACCTCTCCTATGTAATTACAGAGATCTGCCTTCCTTCAATTATCCTTATTGACAAGCATTTGGTCAGTGTTTAGGGCCCAGGCAAAAGCATTCCATCTAAGACATTCCCAGATATCCAAGGACATAGAATTATTATGTGCCCAAAGTTGTTGATTCATAGTCACCGACATGGATAGAAAAAATAAGCATGCCCTGGCTCTACCTCACCGCAGATAGAGCAGCAATAACTTAAACTAACCTTGCACTAAAAGGTTCTCAAACTTCTTGTTTTATTAACTAATGATTTTATCTCAGAGATTTACTTCTCCCTCCTATTTCCCCTGAGAAGATAACAACAAAGGTAATCAGCCCATTTGCTTATCCTCAGAGAAAAATAAACTTTACTGAAGTCCTGTGCAGCCACCGAGGACAGGGCACTGGAAGGTGCCAGGTTTTATTTCTTGTGCAAATTAAACTTAGACCCTCTCTTTGACCTATTGCCCTAAGAAATTGATGCTAAAAGTTTCTCCTAGCCGGTTGGTTTATTACTCTGTGTATAAATCTCATTTGCCTTGCTGACCCTGAGAAACTCAAGCAAAAGAATTTCTGTTGCAAATTTATATATACCTGTACCCCCTACTCCAAAGAACTGGGGAGAACAGAGAAACACACAGAGAGAAACAGAAAGGAACAGAGAAAGAAAAGAGAAGAAGAAAGGAGTATGTAGAGGAGCGATTATGTATGAGTCAGTTCCTTTCCCCTCAGATTTTAGTTCCTTTACTTACTTACTTGTAGTTCCTTTCTTTGAACCCTGAACAAAAATTTTGAAAGCAAAGGACTTTTAAAGTTTTCAACATAGGAGGGAGGATCTGTGTGATGCTCTGGAGATAAGGGAAGGGAGGCCTTAGCAGCTTGTCTGCTGCAGAGGTAAGGATGAGACTGGGGGATGGTATTTGGAGGAGCTGAGGGAAAGGTAGTCATCCTTCTACCTCCCATAAAATGGATATAGATTTTAGTCCCATTCTTCAGATGAGAAAGCTGACTGAGATATTAAGTGCTTACCCCAACTCATGTTCAATGTCCATACTCAGGCTGTCCCTCTGTACTGTACTCCACCACCTTGAGAGTAATATGATAGCAATAATTAGGTTCCCTTTGCAGTCCTATTGAAATATTATTGAAAAATTCATGCCGTTATTACTATTCTCTTCCCACCCCGTCTCTACTGAATTCTTTTCTTCTCACCCTAGCCTCCTTTCTTTCCTCTCCTCTCCCTTTGAGTGAGTCCACTTAAATTTCTTGTAAATCTTAGTGATACAAGACATCATTATTAACTTTAGCCACATTGCTGTGTATCATACCCTTAGAACCATTGCATCTTGGGTAAGTGAAGTTTTGTATTTTTTTTTTTTAATCCTGTTTTCCCATTTTCTTCTCATCCCAGCCCTTGACAACACATTCTGCCTTCTGCACCCAGGTTTGACTATTAGAATTTCCACATATGAGTGAGATCTTTTTGTTGTCTGTCTTTGGTTTATTCTCTTAACTCTAATATCCTTTTGGCTGTATAAAATAAGATTTCCTTGTATTCCAATTCTGAGTAGTTTCATTTAGCATGGATGTATGTGAATGTGTAATTCATGAGTTTTTAGGTTGTTTCCAGGCCTTTTATATTATGGATAATGCTGTGGTAGACATGGATATGCTGATTCCCTTTTTGGGTGCAGATCTCATTTCATTTGAATGTAAATTAGTCTTCCCTTATCTGTGGAGACTATATTCAAAGAACTGTAAGCAGATGCTTGAAGTCATATATAGTGCTAAACACTGGATATTCTTTTATTTTCTCATATAAACAAACCATGAAAAGTTTGATCTGTAAGTTAGGTATAGTAAGAGCTTAAAACAATACCTAATGCTAAATTAGATAATAAAAATAATGCGCCTAAAACATATCTCAATATATTTTATTCTTCTGAAGTTATCTTTCTTGTAATGTGAGATGATATAGTTGCTTGAATGATGTGTTGGATTTTGATGGTATTGATAGAGATGTTACAAACTCCATTAGGCTTATCTGTGATCCCTTACCAATTGATCTGATATCTGAAATGGCTTCTCCATGAGTAATGAGTGGGTAGAACACATAACATGGATACAGTGAACAAAGGGGTGTACATTGGAGATTTCATCATGATACTGTGCAGAATTTAAAACTCATGAATGGTTTGGTTTTGGTGTTTTACATTGAAATTGTTAAGTTATGTTTGAGTGTTGGTAGCTGAAACAGAAAACAGCAAGGAGTGTTTTATGGAAACCCAGAAACAAGATCATAAAGTCAATGACATCAGCAAAGACCTAACTCTTGTGTCCAATGGGCAGAATGTTCAGGATGGCTGCACCTCATGTACCAGTTTGATCCCATATACAGAAAATGAGCTCATTGAGCCTAAATGTTGTTACCTGGATGAGTGTGCTAAGAGATACATGGTGTATGCATGTATGTATGTGTTACTGTAACTGTTTGGCTGTCAGATGAGTTCAGAGGTTTGTGCAAAGGAAACTTTATGGAAGTGTTTCAGAATCCAAAATTATGTTTTAAGTGAAAACCTCTATACCTCTATTTCCTAGTTTCCCTAGGACATTATCTTTATTGATCTTTTGATCTCAAATTCAGTCTTGTCTTTTTTTTTTCTTTCCATGTTTCAGGCAATGTTCAGTCTTTGTATGGTGGAAAGTGGAGCTGATGAAGTAAATTTACGTGGTGTGACCAGTCTGGGCTTAAAGCAAGCTCTGGAGTTTGCATACACAGGACAGGTATGGTGCCAAGTGTAACATGAGCAGCTTTGTTTATTGACCATTCCTAACCAAAAGAAATTATTCCCAATGCATGAGGTTTAGTGCCTTTATATATTGGTCATTTTATTGTTTAAAAAATTCATGTCTACCTACTTTTATAATTGAAATAATTGAAAAGTGAGTAGAGCCATTTTATTTTTAAAATTAATTTTTATTTAAATTAAAAACAGTCTTATTATATATACCAATTCAAGTTCCCTCTCCCTCTCTTCCTCCCATTCCCCCCACCATCTCTACATCACATCCCCCATCCTCTCCTCAGGGAGAATGAAGCCTTCCAGGGAGGATCATCAAAGTTTTTCACATTATTTGTGAAAGGACCATGACCCTCTCCTGTGTATCTAGACTGAGAGAGTATCCCTCCATAGGGAATTGACTCCCAAAGCCCATTCATGTACTAGGGATAAATACTGGTTCCACTGCCAGAGGCCCCATAGATTGCCCAAGTCCCCCAGCTGACACCCACATTCAGGGGGCCTGGCTTGGTCCTATGCTGTCAGTCTGGGGTCTGTGAGCTCCCACTTGCTCAGATGAGCTGTTTCTGTGGGTTTCCCCAACATGGTCTTGACCTCTTTGCTCATCACTCCTCTCTCTCTACAACTGGATTCCAGGGGTTTGAGCCATTTGATTTTTAATGTTATCCAGTAAACACAATATGTAATCTGAACTATGTGCTTGCTAAGATTGTTTTTTTATGATTCAAGTAACTGCCATACAGAAAATAATTGCAGCTAGTTGAATTCTTATTATCACTTAACCTCAGTTATGGCTTTACTGTCTAAAAAGGAAGAACAAAGTAATGCAAGAGCTATAGTCTAGTGGTAGTGTGAACAAGACCTATATCCACAAAGGAAAAAAAAAATCAAAACAGTTGTTTTAGTTAGGGTTACTATTGGTATGATGAAACATCATGAATGAAAAAAGCAAGTTGAGGAGGAAAATATTTATTTGCCTTTCTGTCTACATCATTGCTCATCATAGAAAGAAGACAATCATGCCAGGAACTCAAGAGAAAGGAGCTGATACAGAGATTAATAGAAATGGGTCAGTTTAAGTTAAGCCTGAGCTATTGGCCAAGCATTTATAAATAATAATAATATATGGTTTACATATATGTTAACATTAGTTCTAAATTATTTCCTGTATACATTTATTTCTCAACACCCTTGTTATATCTACATTATCTGCCTATTATATAAAATCAATAACCCATACTTCATGTAGAGAAACTGAGGCTTGGCACTTATGTAGCAGGGTCAGAGTCTCTGAAGAGAGGTCAGGCTATTGGTGAGGATTCAGCCTCAATTGTAGTGAATACTCCTGCGTATTTGCAATGGCAGTACTATGGGATGACCAGTAGGGACAACAGAAGGTATGGAGTGGAGCCTGCCTGAACATGTAAGAAGCTGTGTGTGCTATGGATGATGGAGCCAGGGTGTTGTAGCTGTCCAAGGTCTCTGGAGCTCACAAGTGAGTCCAACATCTTGGGCACTGAGCTACAGAATTGGATTTACAATATTGGAGTTTGGTTTTGCTTTGATCTGATTGTCACTGTGCCCTATATTTTCTCTCTTGGAAGTAAGTATGTGAGTTACTTTTTATTTTATAGGAGCCCATAGTTGAGATACTTTGGAGTTAGAAAGAGATGGATACTTTGAAAAGACTACTCTTTGGCCTTTGTAAAAGTCTGTAAGGTTTATAAAACTCATGAAGTTATATTGTGTTTGTAGGGAGAAATGAGAAAGGAAAAGGTCAGGGTTTAACAGTAATGAATGTGTGTTTGTTTCAAGTTGACAAGGGATCAACTGTAGTGGTTAGTTTTGTGAACTTGACACAAACTAAAGTCTTTTGGGAAGAATGAACCTTAATTGACAACATACCTCCCTCAGATAGTTCTGTGGTGGTACTTTAATGTGGGAAGGCCTAGTGCTTTGGGGTGGTATCTCCTCTGAGTGAATGGTTCAGGTGGTATAAAAAAGCAGGTTGAGTGAGCCATAGAGATCAGGAAGACCATCAAGCAACATTTCTTACCTCCAGGTTCCTTCCTTGAGTTCTTGTCCTGACTTCTCTCAGTGATGGGCTGTAAACTATAAGATTAATAAGCCTTTTTCTACCCAAGTTGCATTTGGTCAAGGTGTTTGTCACAGTAATTGGAAAAACATATATGTAGTAAATATAATGACATTTTTTAAAGGAAAGCCTTTTTCTACCCAAGTTGCATTTGGTCAAGGTGTTTTTTAAAGGAAAGGAGACAAGTCCCTAGACCTATCGTGGACTTGTGTTTATTCTGTCTGGAGAGTATTACAGAGACACTGAGGCTGGAGTGCACGCCATCAACTTGGCTTTCAAATTGTGTTCTGATAGGGCAGGAAGGAGTGTCTCTCTCATGGGACACTGGAAAGCACCTGATGTAAGACAGCTTTAAGGAATGTGTCTTGAAAGGTAACAAGATCCCCAGGGCATGTAATGTAAGCCCTTAATTCCAGGCAGAAGCAGGAGGAACTCTGGGGTTTAGGCCAGCTTATTCTACATAGAAATTCTAGGATAGCTGGGACTAAATCTAGAGATCCTGTCTCAAGCAAAACAAAACAGACAGCAAGATCAAGGAGATGCAATGGACCGAATAAAATCTTTCCCCTGTGTATTTTGACCTAATTGTTGAAACCTCTTCCTAGTTCCAAGTCTATTGGCTTTTTTTCAGAATGCTGTCAAGACAGAGACATGTCATGTCTGTTACATCTTGTCATTTTGTTTAAAGAGGCACAGAAGTACCTGAAGCTGTTTGAAAACAAATCCATTTCCTTAGTCTGCTCTGTGTGTGTGTGTGTGTGTGTGTGTGTGTGTGTGTGTGTGTGTTCAATAGGGAGTGCCTCCCATGTCAGTGAGGTTGGAGTTTTCATTCTTGTTCCATATCATTACTCTGCTACAAACTGGAAGATGAGATAGGAATTGTGGCTTTTTAAGACACGGTTTTTCTATGCAACAGCCCTGACTGTCCTGTAACTAGCTTTGTAGACCAGGATGGCCTCAAACTCACCGAGACCCACCTGCTTCTGCCTGAGTTCTGGGATTAAAGGTGAGTGCCACCACTGCCTGGCAGAGCTTTGGCTTCTTAAACATCAAAATGACTTTATAGTCAGATGTGGTGGCCCTGCCTTTAATCCCAGCTCTCAGAAAGCAGAGGCAAGTGCTTTCTGTGAATTTGAGGTCAGCCTTGCCCATATTGCAAATTCCAGGCCACTCAGGGTTATAGAGTGAGACCTCTCTCAAAAACTGACTTTGTAATAAATCCATTTTGCCTTGAAACTGGAATACAGATGATGGCAAAAGAATGCATTTTAGCACATTTGGGAAATGTGCAAAGATGCCTTCTCTTACTATGGAATTGAAATTAGCATTTGGCAAAGAAGAATCTGGAATGTAGTAGTATAAATGAAAGCATAGTTTATCCAGTTTCTTCATTGTTACATATCATTATGGACTTTCATTGTTTTTTATTAATGTGTATATATGTATATACGTGTATGTGTATATATATGTGATATATATATACACACACTATAGAGCTGTGTGTAGGAGGAATACAGATACACATACAAACACACATGTACACATACACACTGACAGTTGATTATATGTTTAGCTCGTTGTAGTAAGCATAGTATAAAATGCAAGTATTTGAAGTGTCGAAAATCAGTGCTGTCTTGGAGAGAAGTTAGGAGTACAGAGTGGGAGTGATGAATGAATCCTGCTAAGCTCAACAGTGTGTGTGTGTTCCTCCTCCACACAGTTCTAAAGTACAGCCTTCTTAAAATCGTCCCACAGATTTCATCCAGGAAGTGTTGAAGGAAAGTCAAATTTTTCCCCAATGATAATAGCTCCTCTGAACATGTGTGCATGATTCCTATCACCAGCACATGTCTCACAAGCGTATACTTGTCTTTGCACTCATTAGAAAGCATTCTTCTCTGTCTACACACTGCTAACAAATTGCCTGGACTAGGCTCAAGATATGTTGCAGCCCTGTGGTACCCCTGCACAGCCACAAACAATTGCTGGGATTGCAGCAGTGACAGTGATGGGACAGAGGTAACAGGCAGAACCTCTTTGGGGAACCAGCCTTGTTCTAGAGACTGTCATCAGGAAGACCAGCCATAGAAGGAGGAAGAATGAACCCAGGAAAGCACCAGCTTTCACGTACTCTGGGTATGTAAGAACAATGGTTCCTCTTTCCTGGCCTCCTCCATCTCACTTTCTCATGTCTCACAAGAGGCATGAGAAAGATGAGGAGAATATGAGATCCTGCATCCCAGTCGTGATTGCCATAAGACAGACAGACAGACAACAGGAAAATGGACAAAAACCTTCAGCTCGATGATGGGGAGGAGCAGGTGACACTGAAACTACGTTATGAAGAAAAGAATCCTAACTAACTCGGTGCTTTAAAATAACCTCTAGGAACTAAGTAGCTTAGTTCTGGGATGAGCAAGTAGAACTCAGGGCCCCAAGTTTCCTGTTCAGCAGCCTGGCTGTCATGTTTACACTGTGTGACGGGTGGCTAGTTTCCCTCTTCTTTCCAGGGAACTCTTTCTTTCCTGCCGTATCACTCGTAGCCTGTTCAAAAGCCAGAAGCCCAGAACTGAAGGAGAAATGCTATGCCAACAGTCTTCTTTCAACCACTCCATGTCTGAATATTGCTAACTTTGTCAGCTATGAGCCAGTCGTATCAGCATCTAAAGAATAAAATAGTGTTGATATGGCCTTTCTCTTCAGTAACTGAGATACCAGCCCTTAACTTATTGAGTTCAGTGTGTTTTAGGGGCACACATTCTAATTGCCTTTCTCTGACCCAGAGAACTCTTCAGTGTCATATTCATGAGGAAATATTCTGTAACTTTTACCATTTTTAAATCTTTAAGAGATAAAAAAAAATGTGGTACTCTTGCAAATGAAAGACA